CCATAATATTTCCTAATTTTGTGGAATTTCCACGGTCCATTGCAAAATGTCACCTACCGATATGCTAATTTAAGATAAGAGACCCACGCAAATCTGTTCTTTTCCCTTTTAAAAGACATGTAGTTGTTTACCACAAAAATAGGTTTACCGGCAAATATCCGTTTTTGCCTTAAGACAATATTCCATTCACACAAGTGTTTTCGTGTTACTATTAGCTTTCCACATCAAAACGCCTTATATTTAGAAAATTTTTTGATGTTTCTTCGCTATCATCCACATAAAAACGCCTCGAAGTTAAACGGTTAAGAAATCGAAAGCATACAGACGCCTTTTTACTAGACTCAGTGTTTTAAAAACCATCCGATTTAACCTTTCAACACAAGAAACTGTTTTCAACACGATTCGTCATCACTCAATTTTGACATTTCCATTGTAAGTCTGCAATATCAAAAATGTCACACGTCTTAGTGTGGGCGATTGGCGAAAACGGATCAAAACATAACGGATGCCACCGTTTTCAAACGAAAACGCATCATTGTGGTTTGGGCCTCAGAAGTTCTGACTTCCAGGTCAACTGCGCCGAAAGAAAACATCAGTGACTTCATCACAAAACTCATACTACAGGGCTTTGAACAACCGCACCAGTGGAATCCTGACACCCTGTCTGCCATTAAAAAAGCCTCAGTTCTTGGCAAAGCGAACTCTAATCTTTCAGTCTACGATTAAAGCTGCGGCATACATCTAACTAGTTGCTGAAATAAAATTATGAAAAAATATACAAGTAATGAAAGTGCGTAAGATCGATCATCTTTCATGCATACAGACAAGATAACACTTAAAATTTTTGGGATTCTTGATCCATGATATACTGGTTTTTGCTTGGCCTTCTGAGGTGCGAGATGATGACTCATACTGACAGCACCATCAAAAATAGACTGCTTCAGCAATACAGCCAAAACCTCCGTACATTCAAAATAAGTTTCAGCAAACAGACCGTGTGCAAAATAACAAAGATTTCTTATTAATAATAAGGGTATTAAAAAAAAAAAGGGAAGACATACATTCCTTCACAGGCCGGAACCTGATTTTTTCCGTGGTCCAGATGCTACCGACATCCATTACTTCCTGGTACGATGAAATCACAACTGGAAACCGAACATGCCACATGTACTTAGCTTCTTGTCAAAATGTTTTATCATGCACGACTCAGTATTACAATGATCGTTTTATCGTTTGAGGAAATCTTGCATGTAATAACAGTTCTGCCAGACAAAACAGAAAGATTTCACCTCCGACGCCTTAATAATACTAAGCGTTGCCGAGGCTGCTGTGCCTTACGCGTGATTAATCGGTCATGACTGACATAATTTGGTTAGAAATAATTTTTCCCCTAAAGGTTATAGAAAAATTCCTTACAGGGTAGGGTTAGTATGCCAATCTCTTTGTTTGGGCATCCTTGTTTAGAGCGACGAAGTTAAGGAAACGTTTGTACTCGGAGAAATCTGTGTCAATTACCGACATAATGTTTGAACAAATTTAATACAAAGTGACTCATCACATTAGTTTTGGGGACTACAAATCGTGAATTTATGATGGCAGCGCCGAAACCGGCTAAAAAGTGCACCTGCTGATTTCGCCCTTGTCTTCTTTGGTGCAAGAATTGGTTGAAAAAAAAAATACGAAAACTGAAAAGAATACCGGAATCCTTTCTTCCTTTATACATGCTTTTAGAAAATTCATTTCCGCAAAGGAGCTGTTGAGTCACACTTTGTTTATCTTAAATAATTATTCCAATTAAATCTGTTGTCAATCTCCTCCATCCTTGCTCTTTATTAGTACAGTATTGCCTCTATAGTGTTATCTTTTTATTACATCATTAACTTGAAGTCTCCAGGTTTAAAGGATGGTTTTGCAAGTCGTTCAGAAACCATTCAAAATACTGTAATCAGTTTATAGATACGTTTTCCGGTTTGCGTATTTTTTTGCTTCGGAATTGATACCGCCGCTTAATTCGGTTTATGTTCATTTGACGCTTTGTATTTCGGTTAGAATCTGTCTGAAAATTTTTAATGAGTGACATGTAAACATTAACATGTAAACATTGCCACACACGTGAGGCAGGATATGGTGACCAAACATGCTCAACTCTTGCATGTTTCCAATCGACAGAGTGTACAGATATCAAATTTAAGCATTACAATCCGTTTTTCAGTCTCCTTCATCCTTGCTCTCCTCCTCAACCGCGCTTCGAATGTCACGCAACGGAGCGTTGCGTTTTATACTAAAGCACAGCAGCGAAGCAGACAAATCAATTTGTTGACTAACATACAAGATGTTGACTTGCATTTTAGCGTCGTGTTATTTCTCTTCTATCTTAATGGTGGCTTGCAGAAATAACACTAGGAAAAACAATGCGTCAAAGTTGAGCTTCACAAGCCAACATTAGACTCCCTTCAATTCTCCAAAACCGGGAGAAGCTTTTAACTGGAAGTGAGAATACCTCAATAGTTTCGAATTAGCTGAACGATCCTGCATTGCTATAAGGAAGTTTATCAGTAGGACACTTGATTCCTACAGATCAGGCGGTAAAATAATTTTTGATCTAAACAAAAAAACAGATCAAACAAAAATTTCTAATATTCATATTACAGTTTTACTATATGGTTAAAGTCGTACCCAAGTATACGTGAGCATGAATTAAATATTTAAGTCTTGTTCTGTTTGAAATAACTTAATTTAAGAAGGAAAGTCTGGGAAACGTGACCAATGTCGATGGTAAACAGGACGAAATTATCAAAATCCCAGACAGCACCGAGGTACCTGACCGAAAATGAAACACAAAAACAAAACACTCAGCTTCCCGGTCAAACGGCACGTACGTCACGTAGACAGCTACAAACTTTCCAAGTTACAGTGTTTCTTATTGAAGTATACGCCTGGCCGTAAATATAGTTATAAAAAAACTAGATTTTGATTCAGAAGAAAGAGAAATATTTCAAACAGCTTAGATATGTTCGTACTATTTTCGCCGTTGGCCTTAGTCATGCGCTAGTTTGCAATATTTATCAACAACAAACCGTGACTCATTATATTTGCTCCTGGTTGAATGTCTGACCAACTTGTCACGTAGGATTGTTTGCCACGAATGTATTGTACTTCCGGTAAAAGGTCTTGCCGGTTATTCTAAGAAATCCAGGAAAAAGAAACCGAAAGTAGAAAACTTTAAAGTAGAGTAGCTGAGATTATTTCCTGGCGGAATGTTAAACATCAGGAATATTACGAAAACATTTGTGTTGCCGATTGAAGTAATTTCTGATGATTTAAAATACACTTTGAATATTTAAATTGTTTGAGGCTTTGTTCCCTCGGGAGGGACAATTTATTTCAAATACACATAAAAAGAGGAATATTGATCGTGATGACAATAATCGTAATCGTTTAAAGCTCATCTCATCTTCACATAACCTGTTTTCCATGATAATGATCCTTGTCAAACTGTAATTATTTGTTGGTGGTTTGCGTGACGCGCGCTGTTTTGCATATCGTCAAAAAATATGTAAAAATACATTTCCCACAATCACAACAAATCTTCTTTTCTCGGAATGTCAGCATAAATCAAACGCTTGCAAAACCTAAAAAAAACCAGCCAATTTTCATTCCCAAAATTGTAAAGTCAAAACAGAACAAATATTTTTAGCAAATCTTTCACGTGTGACTTGCTCTGACGACATTGCGTTGTTAAGCCTAAAAATATATCGAATCATCATGGAGAGCCTGTTTTAGATACTCACCATTGAAAACAAAAGAGAATGATATCTTATATGAAATTTTTTTCATTTAGTTTACTTCTCGTTCTTGAAAACCAAACCGGTATCGGCGCTGGCTACAGCAGTGACTGACATTAGCTCTTACAAATTCTCAATAGTCACTTGCATTGAATAAAACCTGATTTATCAAGACATCGAAAAGCTATGGCTCGCCCAAAGTTTTCATTTCAAAGTTAGAGAAACCTTTTTAAAATTGGGTCAGTCGTGATCTTCTTAAATAGATATTCTTAATCTCTAATAAATCAGCTTAGCAGTGCGAATCTGTGAATTACTTTCTGACTACACGTTTAAACCGAGGCGACTTTCGACCGGAGTGTATTTCTAAAATACTAGAACCCATGCGTCAAATTTGTCGATGCATTAGAGAAATTGAAAGTTTTTTCTTGCGATTTTGAAAAACATACAAAAGAAATTTATTTTCGTCTCGTGAGAACAAAGCATACTTTACATCATAACAACAACTAATTTGCATAGTCACAAAAGACAAAAGCTGCGACGGCTTCCGGTCAGATGTTTCTCACCAGTTCGTAAATACAACCTAATGGCTTTTGTAGCCTTTTAAAACCGACACAAATGTTCAAAATCATCAGGCCGCGTGCTAATATTCGATAAACATGTGTCAAAAATTAACACATCAAAAAAAATATTTCGTTTCACTCCGATAGGAATATATTTGCAGGCCAGTGTGTGCTCGGTGAAACTTGCCAAATAAAAACTCGAAAGAGTAGACTAAACACTCGAAGCATGTGATCGAATTCAGACAAGCCGTGAGATGTTATGATTGATAGTGGTGGCGGGGGTGAATGCGAAGTCACGTTTTCTGTGGTTTAAAATATTTGCCCGCCAAAAATATTCAAAGCTCGATAAATTAGAAGCCTGAAAAACTTCAGTTTTTAATGGAAATCATTTCGAAAACTGGGTGAAAGCGTTAGGGCTTTCTGTTCGCTTTGGCGGATAAATAACACGCACAAATGTTGTCCCACTAAAGACCAAACATTCACTTCCCTAGCAGCACCTCTGGTGAATAACAAAGATTAATTAACAGGGCAGAACGGTGATCGCGAAAAACACAGAAAATCTTCTACGTGCTTCCATAGACAGCTCGGTAACAGCAGAAATACTCGGTGAACTGTAATTGGACAATTTTTTTAGACGCTTCCGCGTGTCTGCACGTGTCTCGCGTTATTAGCATAGCGGAAGTAAAATTGAAGTACATGGCTCAAACTCAGAGGCACGTTGATTCAGTGCACTTCTCGCAGTCAAGACGTAAGGACGTCAGCTCGGCTTAAGTCTTGGAACAGATCAAGAATAGCTGCTTATCTAAACATAATGGATATGGAGGAAGACTTAAATTGCAATCATGACTGGCTAAGATATCTTTTAGCGGACGGCGACTACCTGGAAGGTACGTAAATGTCAAATCCTGTTCTTTCTTTCATGTTTTCCGTATTTTTGATTGAGGGGGCTTCCCAAGGTACACTGTCAACAAAGGTAATGTAAAATTGTGATATGCCATTCTAATAGATTAAAAAACAGGGAATAGTAATTTAAGATAATACTTGAGAATTTATAGGTGGAATAAAAAATAAATAGAACAAAATGATAAAGTAAGGTGACGTACAACGCGGCTGCAGCACAACGGGCAATAGAAATAAACGCTTGATGTGGTTGCCTGGCAACAGTCTTGTTTATCACAGCTGTGGCTTGGAGGCAAAAAAAAAATTGCTTTCGTCTAAATAACTGATCAAAAAATTACTCTTCAGAGAGAAAATTTTAAATAAATTCTTCTTTTTTTTTTCCTTACAGAAGAATGTCTCATAAAATTTGAAAAAAGTTACAAATAAGAAAAAAATCTTCCCTTTTGATCTGTACTGTTTATTTCCTTGCCTAATCCTTAAATAAAGAAAAAAGGCCTTGGTGATCACAGAAGAGTCGGTGGTCATTGCTTTCAACATCGTTGGCAGGTTGTGATTGGCTACACCACTTAAGGTCACGTGTCAGTCAGATGTGAAGTAATGCGCACGACTCGACTAAATATCCTGAGCAAGAATTTGTGGCTAGCAAAATGACCGTTATGTCAAAAAAAAAACAAACTTTCAGCTTGCAACAGATCAGAAAATTAAAAGCGATTTAATTAGAAAAAAACTAGAACATCATCCTATAATAAGGAAGTAAAGGCCCTTACTTCCTGGTCTACGGTTTGGTTTTCGATCTTCATTGTTAATACTTCCCAGGTCCAGGAACAACAAGCCAGGATTCGGCTATTTTAATGAAAAGTCTAGATTACACACGATGATCATGGTTTTCCTTGATAATTGGCAGGTCGAAAGAGCTACGATGCTAGGCGGGCGACGCGAGGCTTATACGTCCGCTAATACTTTCCGATCTATTAGGGCCCGAGGTATTCGTTAAATGACCGTACATAAAATAAAAAACCTTAAAAGGTAATGAAAATTTTAAAGACAATCATAGATAGCCTAAAAATTACCACGATTTTATTTCTTTATTTTTAAGATAAATTTCCCTAATCGCTGAGGGTGCAATTGATCCTCGAGGCCACGCCCATAAGCTGAATAAAACCTAAGGTGAACAACAGCGATATAAGAAAATGTTCTTCCTTAGGCGTGGGTACAAAAAAACTTTTAATCCTCTAATATCAGTGAAAACTATCTGCACTCAACCCTTACCTTGTGGCTGGAGTGACAATCGCAATCCCTCATTCCCTGCGTAAGTTGCCCCATACAATCAACCCCTGCTGCAACAATTTTTAACAAGCTCAATATCAAGGTAGGTCAGACGCTGTTCAATACTAAACGGCCGCTATTCTTTTCCTACTCTATCTACAGAATGTGGACTGTTTGATGAATCGGCAGATTTTATCAATTTTCCACCGAGTAAAACAAAAGTAGAATTGAATCAGGAAGACATGCTGGTAAGGCCCCAATGCATCAAGGAAGATGAAGACGACGCCGTAGTTCCGATCAGGAACACATACTTTAAACCACTGTTCATAACCAGGGAGGTAGAAGTTAAAGTTCATTTTCTGGGTCTCAAAAAGGTCAGTAGAAAATGTTGATAGATATTCTCGAAATGATAACAACAATTTCTCTCTGATGAAAGGCTCTCTCCTCTGGACCAGTCATTTATCGCCGTGTTTGCGAGGGGGAGGGGGAGGGGGAGGGGGAGGGGGAGGGGGAGGGGGAGGGGGAGGGGGGGGGGAGGGAGAGGGGGAGGGGGAGGGGGAGGGGGAGGGGGAGGGGGAGAGGGAGGGGGATTTGGTTGTGTCACGATATTAATTTACCTGATCTCCCCATAAATCTCTGTAATATTCGTGTGACCGCCACCGCCCCCGCTCTCCCCCCCCCCCCCCCCCTCCACTGGCAGTAGATAGATTGTCAATTTTCTATTGTTCCCACTCATATACTCTGTAGACGACGACTGATCATGATCCCCCTTACAATCCACCTGAATACTACATGATCCCCCCCCCAAAAAAAGGGAAAAAAATCCTCCCACCCCCCCAAGCGACAAATCAAGGCCACTTGGTCACTTTAAATAAAGGAAATGCCTTACCGCAACCCATCAAAAGTGATAACGAGATTACAACATACAACACTCCCCATCAGAGACCGCCAGGTTTAATCTTTTTTTTTTTCCTTCGTAAGAATTAATTTTTCTAATCATTATTGCTTTTGTTATTCCTCTTTTTAGGAGTATGAGAAAGTCCAAAGTCGTATAAACCGTAAATCAAGGCAGCGACTGACAGACGGAAAAGTCCGCATAATGGTGACGGCTGATGCACAAATTGGAAACATTGAAGTTCAGGTGGAGCGGACGCCAATGGCAACAACTCTCTGTGGTGACGTCACTGGCAAGGTGCCGTTGAAGGTTAAAATGGGCTCGCAAAATGTCAATAAGGTAAAAAAAATTGATGCCTAAAGAAAAAAGATAGAACAACAATCGCACGAGCTCTTCGATTTATTCCGTCTAAATGCTTTATTTATCTGTTTATTTTTCTCAGCAATACCTTTCCGTTGATCTCGATTCAGTTTACATGTCTGAAAAAGGTACACCAGTTTACAAGCTTTCCACTGTAGATGCGGAGAGACGTAACCAGTTCCGCCTGGTGGTCACCGTTCAGTTCATCGACGGAGCCCGCAGTCGGTCGTTTGTCAGCCCATCATTTCTCTTACGGAGCCGCAGACCAGAAAGGAAGAAGTCGTCCTAATTCAATGACTACCTACTTGTTTAACTGACTAGTTACGAGGCTAATTGGGTTCCCGTCCCCTCGTAGGAGGAGCACAACTCAAGCCAAGCTATTTATAACAAAATTTGCATTCACACCATTCAAAGTAATCGTCTCTACATAAATGTTGTATCCCACAGGGAAACATCCAAAAGTGAAGGGAACAAAATTGCCCGCTCACCGAAACTAGTGATAACTGGAACAGTATTCAATAGTTGTTGTAGTATGATGAAGTCCACTAGTTGTTAAGAAAATAGCTTCCATACTCTTTTCAGGGGTTCAGTTAGTAACACGGGGCGAAGTAATAAACAGCGCAATAATAGAGCGAAAACGAGGGAATTTTGGGTCGAGTCACAACCCGTCCCAAGCCTTCTTGGTTTTACTCCTTCGCCTCTATCGCACGGTCTTTTCAACGCGCATCGTTTTACTAACTGAACGTCTAGAACTGGCTGCCGAATGCAGCATTAATCTAACAATAAAAACTATTTAGTATGTAGTGTGTGGTATAATTACTACAAAAGCCGAAAATTTTTAAGTAATGTTCAATAATGAAAGTTAAGGGATTTTCCAAGCCTCTGAATAAAATTAAATTAACTTCTGATTTGAAAAAAAGGCTGAAAAGGTTCTTAATAGAGCAAAGATGCTGAAAATGATCTTAATCGATCGTTGTACATACGGTTTCAGAAACCAGGTATAAGAAATTTTCTAGTTGGATTTTGTATTTTAAGAAACTGAAAATATATTTGATAATGACATTTTTCGCTTATTTCAAAACTTAAGCATCTTTAATTTATGATAGAGCAATATGAAGGGGTTTTTTAAAAACGCAGTAGAGAGACGGATTTGTTGACGTAAGTCTCCGCGATGAAGAGAACGTACTCCTTTGAATGAATGATTCATGGCTCCATCGAATTCCATCATTATTTAATTCGAATGATGTGACTGCGCTTGACAATATGAGATTTTAAGACTGTTGAAGAAGAAAAGCTATTTGAATTGCACATTTTTTTTATTTAAAAAATTTCCCAGTTTTGTATGAATGTACAATGTTTATTTAAATGAAAACGTTAATAAAGTGTACTTAAAAGAAACGTTTAAACGACTGTAGATATCAACAATTGTGATTCAAAAACCCTTGCACTTTTGTAAAGGCCCTTGCAATAATTTTTGTTTCATTCAGAACGATGACTTATATTTCTAGCATAGTCTTATCACGCAATGCGTTACCGAAACGTTTGGTCACGTCACGGTCACGCGTTCGTGACGTGACCAAACGATGGCTGCGAATCGCAGATATGAAAATGTTAGGTTAGGTTGATTTTTCCCTCTTTTAACGATTCGATATCAGCATGAGGTACGTCCAATCGATTGTCAATAGATTTAAGGCCATCACATGGCACAGATTAAGAATATTTTGAGGTTTTAACAAAAGATACGTGATTCGAACATCTAGTGACATTTCAAAATGGCGTCTCGCGTGCTTGTTATACTGTTTGGTGATTGAGAGTAACGATAAAATACGAACAACCTTTTCGTCCACAACGAAGTCTGCCGAGTTTTACACGATATTCTTCGCTCTTGGCTTTTGTTTGTTTCGGAACATCTTCGGTCGTTCAGCGTTTGGTGACGATTTCTTCGAATCGCTTCGATTGTTACACGGAGTATTAGCAGGTAATCACACTATTTTTCGGTGCTTCTTATTGTTTGTCTCGTAGTGTACTACAGAAGACGATAAACATCTCACAATCATTTAAGAATGGCGCGTGAAAAAAGAAAGTTTTACCTTGCAGAAATATCTACAAGGAGTGATCGGCGTATCATGAATATTAAGAGGAAAAATTTTTTCCTTAAAGACAGAGAATTTTACCGCTTTAATCAGCGAATTATTTCCAGTAGATCTGAAGGTGTAATGTTTCCAGTTCCAACCGTGACACTACGATAGATGATAAACATTTCAAAATAATTCCACTGTGGCGTCTCTTGCACGTTATTGAAAAAAAGGCTATTTCCTTGCAGAAATATCTAAATTGGTATGATCTACACATCGTGGAAACTTTGAAGGAAAATTTCAATTTATTCGAAAAGAGATCATTTTACCGTTTTAATCAGCGACAAATGCTTAGTAGAGCCGATAAATTTGCGAAGCATGAAACAATGGAATGGTAGAATGGTGGAATGATAGAATGGTGGAATAGTAGAATGGTGGAATGGTAGAATGGTGGAATGGTAGAATGGTAGAATGGTAGAATGGTGGAATGGTGGAATGGTGGAATGGTAGAATGGTAGAATGGTGGAATGGTAGAATGGTGGAATGGTAGAATGGTGGAATGGTAGAATGGTGGATTGGTAGAATGGTGGAATGGTAGAATGGTGGAATGGTAGAATGGTGGAATGGTAGAATGGTGGAATGGTAGAATGGTAGAATGGTGGAATGGTAGAATGGTGGAATGGTGGAATGGTAGAATGGTGGAATGGTACCGGTGGAATGGTGAAATGGTGAAATGGTGGGATGGTGGAAAGGGAGAATGGTAGAATGGTAGAATGGTAGAATGGTTGAATGATGGAATGATGGAATAGCGGAATGGCGGAATATTCTACAACGCAGAATGCCCTGTTGAATGAACAAAAGTTTCACAAAAGTGGAATTGCAATGAAATGAGAAAATGGTTTATAATTAACAGGCAGATCAAAATTAAAAGAAGGCTAGCCTAATCATTATTGAAGCCTAAGGATAGACCGATGGAGGAACAGTGAGGTTTTTGAGCTAGCCCCTATAATCTATCATTACTATTACTTTTGTCATCATCATCATTATTATCTTTGTTACGTTGTTATCGTTAATATTATTATGTGTTACCATTTAATTAGTGGTTGAGTGTCAATTATTCACTGTATTCTTGAATCTTCTTTCTCTTGTGGAACAGGGCTCTCATAAGTATGTGGGATGCGGCAGATTTTCTGTTTTGTATGCGAGACAGATCTTCTGCAGCGCTACCTTCTAGCATCATCATACAACCCCAGGTTCTTTTCAATGCTATAAAAACTTCTGCTATATCAGTAGCCATATGCAGTCTGAACTGCCCATCTTTTTAAGAGCCATTGAATATCCAATCTCGAGCCCAGGGTCACTGTTTGCTCCTTGTCAGTGGTATGTAGGCCGATCAGGTTCAGTCTAATAGCCTATCGTTTATTAAGAAGGGCAAAGATTGAAGCCTTTACTCCTTATGCTTCATACGTTTTACAAAAGCATTATTTTTAACCTGTGTCAAAATTAAAAAGTGTCAATATCCAGCTGCAGTGTGGTTCAGTTATTTCGTCAATCATGACTACCGTCGGCTTTAGCTCATGGCACAAATTACAAAGTTGAATTAGTTCTATATACGCGCTAAGTTCACCATAGTGGGATGGCATAACAATCAAAGCACCTGAAAATACATCGTAACGAAAGTGTTTCAAGGAAATTCTTAAACTGACTGTTTCTGGAACCTGGTTCCCAGTTAATCGAAACGATCCGATTTCCGCACAAATACGCGATTCTACGTTGACAATCGTGTTCGATCATAAATTATTATTTGGCATGACTTTCACGTAATTGTCCCAATGGCTTAGAGGGCATAATCTAAGACAATCTGGAAAGCAGAGTTAATTGTGCCAAAGGTGACGGCCTCTTATATCTCAAACTAAAATCTACAGTCTGGCACCAACAAAAAGGGGAAGAAAACCGTATAATCATTCAAAAGTCTTTACTAGAAGGTGTTTTGATAAGTGAAATTTGCTTAATCATGATTAACACAGAAATTCTGAGACGTATTTGTTACTGATTTTTTTTTGTACTTCGTACTCTCAATAAAAGATGCCAGAAGTACAGCCTAAGATTCTTTGCAACAAATTGTTTGGTTTTTATCTTACTTTCAGTTTACCGTACCTTCAAGATAAACGAAAACCTCGACATGCATTTGCGAAAATATTTACCCACCATTTTATTCACAGAGGTTCACTTGATGTCGCTGAATCTCCCAGATATCGCAACTGAATCGTATCAAACTGGGAAGAGTTCTCCAACAGTGTGTCAGCGTGCGCTTTAGATCCCCCTCTCATAGAAAAAATCACATCTTTGAAATCCCGTTTAAAGAATGTGTATAATAAAGGATTGACCAGCGGACTCAGAAATCTTAAAAACATGAAAAGAGTGTCAGTCCAATAGGGGATAGTGAGCACTTCCTCAACACCCAGGTCATAAGACAAAGATAGTAGAAAGTAAGGAAACCACCCAATTACGTAAAAGACGATCATTGATGCGTAGATAAATGTGGCTCGCTTTTCCTTTAGTTTATGACCTTGATTCCTGGAAGATGTCATAAAAAGGGCTGTCTGTTTGTCTATTTCTTTAGCGTGCCTTCGCAAAACAGAAAAAACTTTGCTGTAAGCGATAACAATGATCGTCAAAGGAAAAACGACGAATCCGAAGATGCAAACAAGGTCGTAAATGATTTCGGATTTCGAGATACCTCGCAACTGTGGGACGCCATCTTTGATATGAATCCACGTTAGTTGTATGAAAGACGCAGATAAAGGAATAAGCCACAAAGCAGACACGATGACAGCGTATTTCTTGCAGCTGACAAAGTCGTCTGGTTTAACATGGCGTACGATAACGACGTACCTCTCTACAGCGATAACTAGTAAGTGAAGAATGGAGGATATTGACAACATTCTGCTTATAAGATCCATGCTCAGGCAAAGGGGTCCACTCCACGAATGACGTGTTTCCAAAAGCTGGCAGGCTATGATCAGTGGAATTGCACAAGATCCTGAAAAGAAATCGGCGCATGCAAGGCTTGTCAAAAGAATGTTCGCCGGTGTACGAAGAACCTTTTTTTTCCAAACCAAGAACACGACGAAGCAGTTGATAGCAACAATGAAAATTGACATTAAACCTAAAAATGAAAAAAACACCACCGTCTTGTTGTGCTGTCCTGTTTCGTTGTCTTCGAAGGAGGCATTTGTCATAATAACTTGTACAGAGTTCCGCTGCGCCATTCAAATATCTTTGCCTTCTGTCTTCCCTTTCAATTGATTTCTTGGCCTTGAAAACCTCTGCATCCAAATACTAAGAGAGCGAAGCATGTTATACCAGTTAGACATACGTTCAGTTAAAAGACTGAAGTGCCAATAAACGTAAGTGTTTCAGTGTTTTCCCCAAGAAAGGGGGAGGAGGTGGTAATCGCACAATGCAGTGGAAAGTGATACTGAGGGTATAATGAGTATATTATGGAGTAAAGAGGTCAAGTCAGAAATGTTAGAGACCCGGGCAGCACAGGCCAAACAGGAATCACAAGGAGTACCTCCCCCGAGTAGCATTGTAGTATTTAACCTAATTGACAGTTGTGTAAATAATGAAAGTATGCTTGAGAGCAATAAATCGGAAATGCCTTTGCATTTGAAGCTCTCACAGCAAACAAAGGTATGTGTATATATAATTGTCTCAATGTCTTTCTTGTCTTAAGTGACTGAATATAAGTTCCCTATTTTGGTGGGAAGAAGCAACTCATCATACGCGACTCGAAGCCTTATACTCATTGTTAAAAATGACTGTGTATAGCGAGGGTCTTTTCTTCGGCCAACCGACAAATAGAAAAATATCCTAACTGTAATGTTATCCGCATTCGGCCCCTTAGAGGTTGCTTGTGGTCCATTCAGATTTTTGTTTTTGTTTTCTTCATTGATTAAACCCATAAAGTGTTGATAAAGAGAATGAATTTACACTTAAACCATGAACAATTGCTCACAATTCTAAAGCCGCAATTGTCACTGATTAACCTGATGACTTACGAAAAGTTACTTAGTAAGGAAAAAAATAATGACTTATTTCAAATATAACTAATGATAGGTGCTCACAAACCAAACTAAGATTACTTGCAATGCATGCAAAAGTATGGCATAGGGTAAAATAAGGATTGGACCATTGGACCCTTGGACCATTTTTTGGACTATTTTTTGGACCATTTTTTGGACCAATTTTTGGACCTTTTTTTTGGACCATTTTTTAAGGACAATTTTTCCGGGGGAAGGCAGACCGTTGGCACTAAGGGAGGGGCGGGATGCAATCTATCAGTACTCAGGGAGGTGCGGTAAGCAGATTGTTGTCACTGAGGGGGGTGAAGGACAAACTATCAATACGCAAGGAGGGGTGGGAGTTTGTTTTATTAGTAAATGCTACTGATTAATGGAATTTTCCTAGGATCATGTTACTTATTTTGAGCGGTTTTTCGACTGAATATTTTTGTCAAATTTTTGCGCCGTAGTGTTTCCATATTTTTCTGTCATGCGAATGCAAAACTGGCACCCAAACACTAGACTAAATTGTTATCGAAGATATCGCCCGTCTTCGATCCTCAACTGCCAGTGCTAAATGATACTCACGGTTAGCGTGAATCATCCATCAGTTGCTTCACGTTTCCCTTTGTGTATACAATAGATCATTAAATTTAGCTATCTTCCTTCTGTCATTGATCTTATCGGACGACAAAAAACAAAATTTACATTTATTTGCTAATACAACAACCGCCCAGCCCTCCTCGCGTACTAATAGTTCGTCCTCCACCCCTCGCTGTCTGCTTAGTACCCCTCTCTGAGTATTGATAGACTACATCCCACCCCTCCCTAAGTATTAATGGTTTGACTCCCCCCGATAAAATGGTCTAAAAATTGGTTCATAAAAAGGTCCAAAAAAGGGTTAAAGAAATGGTCCAAAAAATGGTCCAAAAATAGTCTAATTTTTGCAATGGTCCAATGGTCCAGTCCATATTAACCTATGCCTGGAATGTCATAATTACAATAATTAAGCCAAAAAAAGAACGCCCAATACTACTTGCCTTTTGCTTATTTTAAAAATACTCTTTCACTCGGCGTAAAGTGGTCCCAAACACAAAATTTAAGAGGCCATTTATCATCTTAAATTTCTAGTCCGCTCACCACCGTTAAATCAAAATTTGTTTTCATTTGTGTCAGTCATGCCAAGATGTATCGAGATTCAAGAAACAGATGTTATGTACATTTGACGAAAACGCGAGGAAAGAAATAATGAAACAGCGAATGAGAATGTTGTCTGCAATTTTTAGTTTTTAATGAGTTGTATTTCTTGTGTTTCAGGCTCGAAAAGATAAACCGATTGGAAACAAGATCTGGACAGTATTCCACTTTGAGTGAGCTTCAGCGACTTTTTTTTCAAATCCAAATGTAATATCTCGTTTGCAGAGACGGATAATATTGACAATGAGCATGCGAAAGTGTAATTGAATGTGATTTCCTAATAAAACGGCCTTTTACAAGAAGGCACCAGGGTTCATTTGCATTTCCATCAGATAAATAGGTTTTGATCGTTCTACAAAGGGCTAGTTTTTCCCTATGTCTACCAGGTGCAAGAATTCATTTTGCACACTCTAATGTCTGCATTCGGATTTTTGTTTGTGTTTATTTTTCATGAGCTCATGTAAAATAAGCACATGTTTATAGCCTAACGCTCTAGGTTTTTTTCTCAACATCTCAGCCTTTCGTTATCACCGGCAATTTTCAGTACTAGTGACATTTCTCTAAAATTCACAATCTATTCTTCTTTTAGAAACCAGTGCTCTAAATCAACTGAAAGGCAAGCAGTAGCAGATGACTGTCAAAACGTTGCAACTTAAACTTACTTCTAATCTGAAGTGCAATCCTACTTCATTGACAGCAGAGTAAAACACGCGTTCTAGCCTTCAGAGATGACACGTTATTTGAATGAGAGCAACAATTACCAAGACGTGAATCTTAAACTTTTCTCCAATTAAGGTTTAATCTGGCGCCGGACGTTTATCAACGAAATTAAAGAAGATCGCCAAAACATAATCGCTTTGCCGGGTTGATTATTCAGAAAACAAAATCTAAATAAAACAAAGAAGTGAAACGCAATGAAAAACATTACTTTACATGTGATGTCAATCAGAGAAAATATATAAATAAAAGGCTGAAGGTGCTTAATTACTTGGGGCTCGCCTCTGTGGCATGCGACAAAAAGCTGATCAATAGTTGATTATAATTGTTTTAATCGATAACGTCCCGCAGATGGGCGTTTTAGGTGGAGTTTTGTTTTGTGTCACGATTTGAGTCAAAAAGAGCCGCCGAACTATAAGGGGTGGCATCCAAAAGAAAACAATAGATGCCAGAAAAGACGATTTTCATTTGTGATTTCAAGTTACAAAAATTATACCTTGTGCGCCTCGGTCGCTTAGAGGCCTCAAAAAATTTTTCGAGTCAGTTTCAATATAGCAAGGGTTTGAAAAATTTAGTGCTAATTATTAGTATTAATCATTATAATCATTTTCTTCCCCTTATGTAACACTTTATACTTACGAACTTTGAAGTAAAAAAGAAATCATGTGTTCTTTGCCGGTGTTTAGAAACAAGTCAATCTCGTGATCAGTTCCTCTTGGCACTTAAAGGGTGTAACATGCAACACAGCGGAAGAAAGCCGGAAATATTTACAGCCTTTCTCTAACAGGCCAACGACCAACTACACCCTCAGATTATTGATCAGTAACGTTTTAAGCCCTTACAAAGTGCAAGCACAGGACTTTCGCCGCTTTTAACTGCAAGGTAAGAAAGTTCTGCTTGATACAATAAGTATATTTAAGAGTTAACCTTGGATGTGATATGGAATTTACAGCCTTGTTGAGCGCTAACACCTTTTTTCCTAAGGACGGCCATTAACTCTGTTTTTTTTTTGTTTTTTTTTTAGTGCTCAGGTGATGGTATGAAAAGAAAATAAAAAATAAATGGAAAAACCATGAAGTGGTTAAAGTGAGCCCGATCCAACTCATAGCAGCTATGTATGGTTCGCGTTCGTATAAAACTTGTAGAAGAGCCGCTGTTACAAACAACTTTTCCCACTAGTAACCACTCAGAGTAATATTTCACACTTGCAAAGAGCACGCGAAGAAGATGGCGTCTTTGTTGTTCCCCGAAACTCATCCCGCAAATTTGACTTCAGTTTGTTTTCTTCTGCGAGAATCGTCAGGCAATTAATACTTCCACAAGGTGAAATGACAAAATTTTCTCACCTATCGAAAATCTGATTTCTTCTAATGCGTTCCCCCTTCCCTCCAACCTCAACTCGGAGACAATGAAGCAATACAAAGGTTTAACAATCGAGATCATCTTAGCCTGCGAGTTATCAAAAATTATCAGCGCTCATCTTGTAAATGATTATGACCCCTCTCTAGCTCTCCCTCCATTCTCAGAACTGCTGTATGAGCATGAATCGAAATACATGTGCTGGAAGAGAACTTTTGACACGTACACGGAGTGCTGTTTACTTGAAATCAGGACTTCCTTCGGTAGAATTATAACAGTTAATTCCTTCTCAGAATTCAAATTAATATACACTAGCCTTTCCTCAAGGTTATTGATTTTATGTTTCTAAAGAAGAAAGTGTGTGTACTTTACAAGGAATTTAACGCTTAGAAGACGTCCAAGGAAAAAAATGCCAGCAGAATTTAAAAAATCGCGCCTAGTCAAATATTCTAGGACTGATTATACATCATAAGGATCTTATATAGAAATATCAAAAAGGCGTTGAATTTTCGACCCTAAATTGCGAAGTAAAACACGTTTAAGAGTCAGTGACATTAATGACTAAGATTAAAACCGTGTGAGAGGTAATCCATTTCAGTTGATCCACTGTATGATTATCTGGTGTTGATTTAAACACTTTTTGAAAAAAAAAAAAAAAATAGGGTTCTCAAATTATGCGACTCACAAATACTATGTTACCTGATTTTTGTCTCTCGCGTTCAGGTTGGCTTTTCGTATATAGCGCTTAAGTAAACTCCAAAGTGCACTTGAGATTTCTGACCATCCAACTCGAAATCCGTTTGCATGAAGAGCTTACTGTGACAACAGCTTTACAACTGCAGTATATCGAATCCTCTTTTGCCGCTTATTAACATATTTGCGTTCAAAGTAAAAATTGCTTTTTATCATATCCATTGTCCATACGCAGGAAATGAAGTTTTATTGAGAAACTCCCATTGAGTTCATTCTCAAAAGCTATAACAGATGATTGAAAATACATTACAAAGATAACAAGGATCGTATAATAAAAAACTCGCCTTCAAATTCATTTGCAAAAGAACAAACAGAAACGTGAGACTTGCCTGATAAAGTGCACTGATAGGTTGTTACAGCAAGTAAAAGCTCAATGCGTTGTTTTCATAGTTATTTAAATTTTTACCAAGCAAGTAAAATCATCTTTTTCCGTCGTCGCCAAGGATTTATATAGCTTCAAGTTAATTCTAAGGTAAATTCAAAGCATAGGACATTTATATCGAATTGAAGTTTATCGTGTCGTTCTTGTATTTCATAAATTTCAATATATCTTGTTCTTTATTTAATATTTACTTTAAGAATAAATGTAAAATGCGGTAAATAATGTAAAAAAGACAAGTTAAACACACGTAACTTTGACTAGCGTGAGATGTAGAATTCTTGGGGACCAAATCTGGGTACTGAACCAATAGGTCAAGCAAAAGATCACCTCATGGGGTTCCTTTCCCTTGCTAGGGAAAGAGATGTAATAAAAAAAAAATGCTTTTAAGAGAAAAAATCTCTTACCTTCTTTTTTCAGAGAGCGTCGTTAAATTTCGACCTTTCTATTTGCAGAGCGCTTACTACAACACTCAAGTCTCTTTAGTAAATGCAGCTTAAGAGAAATCCAGTTTACCATGAAATATTATTTGTGTCACTCATCTTTAGAAGCTTATCTTTGCCAGTGATGATAGGAAGTCTTTAATCTCACAAATGCTCCAAGCGTCAAATGTCACCGGTGTTTTAAAGTGGTATGAACATTTCTGTCAAAGGTAGAGCCAGCTTTATTAAGATGCAATGCACATTTATCGAAACAGGAAAAGCTTTTATACTTCTATAATAATTGTAATTAATATTAACGAACTCAACCAAAATACTATTCGCGATTAAAAGCTGACGACACCTCGGCTTCAATGATACAGAGATGCTATTTCCCGCATAGGTGAGATAAAAGCTAAGCCAGTTGTTTGTGGTAAATTTTTAAGAGAGATTTGTTGAGAATGTAAACACCCAGCTGGTTGACTGACTTTTATAACCCATCTGGCAACCATCGTTTAGTTTTCTTTTTTTCGCATGCATCATTTCATGATCACTTAGGCTTTTACATTTATCAACGCAACACATTAAATTTTAGTTCATTATCAATATAAGCGTTGGATTCGAGTGAGATTCAGGCCAGCTCAGAATGTAAATTTAGCCAGACAGTTAAACTGTGGCCCAACATGAAGACGAAGGTTTAGGAAAGCGATTCTTGAATCAGTAAAAATTAGTGCAAATAGTCTTTGACTGAAGCTAGGTTCTACCGGAAAATGTTTTTAAGCTATATTCTTATTAAATGCGTGTCACATTTTACAATGAGTGCAATGTTAAAGTAATAAGTTGAACTTTGTAACCATCAATATTTTATGTAATGACGAGATGGACAATGGCACGGTGGGAGATACAACCGTAAAAAAAACAATTCATTATTTTACGAAGTGCATCTGACCTCGAGCTTAGCCACAAATATTCATTAAGGTTTCAGTGCAAAAAAAAAAAAAGAGGTAAAGCACTGAGCAAATATGGAACGATTCAACGCCATCGAGAAAGCGAAAATAGTCGCAATCAACTAATCGTACTGTTTAAAATAAGGATCCCTAACAAAAAAAAAATGCAAAAACACGATAAAAACGATCGGCGTAAAAGGTTTGAACAATAAAATACAAATACTGAACATACTTAAATGGATTTAGTTCCAAATATAAGCTTTGTTGAATCACTGGGACGGTAATTTCCGTAATTTAAAGTCAAACGCCGTCAAAGTTGTATCACAGTCGCGGGCTAAAACGTTCAAATGTAACTTAAGTTTAAATAACACACTTTCGAACAGTTCTGCATTTCATTCGCTGAGAGTATATCAATTACACCCAAAAAAGCTGAAAGACGAACTTAGTTTTCTATGGTAAAATTTTCCGCAGCACAGATTAATAACAATATCGACAAAGAAGGCTAACGAGCTTTATACAAAGTAGCGGCTAATGTCGGCACTATTATAAAAGGAGGAAAAATATACTTACTCGAATAGAATTTGAAGGATATCACGAAAAAATAACAAACGCATAAAATTACAAAGCCGAAAAGAACTAGCTACCGGAAGTACAGAAGGCTCAATTGAGGCTTGAAGAAAATGCTACAAGCTAAGACATGAGGATTCTCATGCGTGGGATATTTGTAAAAAATGGAAGATCACAATAACAAGAATAGATTGAGGGCCCTACGGCACTTCACTTAAATCTAAAGGACGAATTGGGTATAAAAACCACCTACTATATTGACAGAAAAGAGCGCTTACTTTCAGAAGCAAAGTTGGATACTTTGTTGGACCAGTTATGCTTTTTCATGGATTCACAAGGATTCCAAATTTTTTTCCATGTAATGTATAATTTGAGAGCTCACTTTACTTTGATCACGCGCACAAAGAAATTCGTAAAAGCGCTATTTCTATGACAGGGAACTATCTATACATAAATCAAAGCTGATTGTCAGAATAGATCCAGACAGAAACTACGGAGACCAGACAATCTTCACAAGGAATGAACTAAATTACCAAGCGGAGGCTACACGTACATGTGTGATCAAGACAAAATTTCTCATTACAGTATTAATACAATATTAAGCAGAAAAGTGATGAGAATAAAGAAAACTACCTGTTAGAGGTTTATTCGTTTATCAAATACTAAATTCTCCGAACCAACATCATAAGAATTGTAACGCAGACAGTGAGGAGAATTACCAACGAGATCTCGGGAGAAGGGTTGAAAAACCCTCGAACATGAAAGCTACCTTACGAGAACCAGCATGAGCCAAAATTACAACCAAATGGAAAAAGTAGTTATGCCTTTGCGCACGATGAAACAGGAAGACAACTAGGAGACCGATTCCGAGAATACTTTCGCGACGTAGAAAGAATGTCAAGGACGCATCCACACCAGTCGCTTGACACTTTAACTTTCCTAATCATTCTGAGCAGCATACTGCAGTTTGCGACCTTTCCCTACATCCACGTAGTTAAGAAAGCCGCAAAACTCTAGCTAAAATTTGGCTTTTAAATCGGCACTTTTAATTCCTACGGTATCAACAAACACTTTTCATACAACTAATTTATTCTTGTTATTCTTGTTTTTCTTTTTACCATGTTCCCACCAATAGGATAGCTCCATTTTCTGCATATAAACACACACACAAAACCTACAATTCCTCAATTCGCTAGGACGAAGAGCTAACACTCGAAAATTCAGCTTTGAAACTCTTCACATTGGCCAATTTACGCTATGAACTCAGTTGATATCAAATTACCTTGTTAAACTTACCCAGCGACGAAGCATTACAGTTTCTTAAGAAACATATCCCCTTTACTCCTTGTGTAACAGTCGAATCTGACTCAGAGTAAGAGAGGCTTACCTACATACGATTGTAATTCAAACTAGGCTATGTTTCATTCGTGTTGCTCTTTAGAACATAATTAAGGGATAGTAAATGTTTTAACTATTCTTCCTACTAATGAAAGTCCAACCCATTTCCTTGTATTTATCTTTTAATATCCTTTTACGTTCGTCTAAATTTAAGAGCTTCCCTTTGTTATCATAGCTAAACTACACCCCCAAACTTTTAATGGTGACGCAAGTATTGTGTTTTGGAATATCTACAATCTATAAAGTACCGTTTCCGAGAAAATTTTTTTTTCTTTTCTTATGATTGGCTTTAAAACTAGTGTAGGAAGATTTATCTTTTAGAAAATGTCATCCGCAAATGAAAATAGTTTGAGTGTTTCGTGCTCGATTTTAAAAGCCTGAATACTACTACCTACATTCTCCATTACCTTAATAAATAAATAAATACAGAGAAAAGCGGTCACCGTATCTGACGCTTCTTTCTAGAGAAAAGCGCCCCGGCAGTAGCAAATCCATCATTCATAACTTCACATGATACATTTTTATACTTTAGTAACAGCGCTCGAATGTTATGTATGAAAGAAGGAACAAAGTTTAATTAATGCCAAGGTCTAATTGTAAAATCAAAATTCAGTGTGTCAAATGCCTTCTCGAAGTCAATGTTATCAAAATGCTCAGAAAGCAATAACGTTTTGTGTAAACGACAGGGTCACCAATTAGTCTTAGTGCACAGGCGTGCTTTGACCAGACATCATAAATAAAACAGTCGTTCATTCGTAATTTAAGTTTGAGACACTTGGGAAACTGCCAAAAAACCACTGATGATTGTGTATTTTTACCAAAACGAATGGCAGAATACATCGTACTTTATTTTTGTTAATCAACGGAGTTGAAACGCGAAATATCGCGAAATAACACAATGTCATATAGAATTCCCAGCCGCTGACCCTCAGTATTTGGACTCCCTGCTGAAACATCACGCTGTCTTTCACGCTTAAAAAAAGACCTATTTTACGTCTAGACTTGAAAGACAACAATTGACGACTTCAGGCAACAGTTTCACAAACATAAATAAATTATTACAAAGTCACTGCTGTCTAGGTGGTTTGGAAGGATAAATACAGAACAAACTCAGTTGAATGAGACCCAATATTACTCCACTTGCATTTGGGACCTGCCAACCAAGAAGAAAAATAAAAATAAATAAACAAATTTATAATGTACACTTGTGAACCAGCTTGAAGGCCCGTTAAGTCAGGCAGAAAACAATGAGCTGCATCAAAAACTTTTGTACAATATTGTCTTCACCCTTCATCTTCTCTGTCACCATGCCAAACTTTGTTATTTCAATTTAAAAGCTGATTAACATGAAGTGCTATATTGTGGAAACCTGATTATTTAAATACTGGGAGAGGGAAGGGTGGTGGTGAGGTTCACACATGAAAGACCCCTGGGTAACCCATCCAGGGGGATTTACAGCAAATAATCCAGTGGTCACATGGTGCTTTTTTTTAGCATAATAACAACACTAATTACAATAAATGGATCAATGTCAGTATCTGAGCAACTGCACACCTACCCCTCCCCTAACCAAACCACAGTCAACCAATATCACATTAGGGTTAATGTTGGGTTAGGGGAGGGGCAGGTGTGCAGTTGTTCAGATACTGATGTCAATCCCAATAACTCATACAAATATAAAATTAAGACTTCATTTGCACCTTAATGTTGATGTCGTCCACAGCAATCCCATAACAGAGCCAAAGAAAAGACACCAGAACCATCATAAATGAGAATATAAATTGCATGGACTCTGTACTTTTGGTCCTTACAACTTTAGCCTGCAGGAGAAATGGGATAACCATTGCAGTGAATATATTAAATAGTATTTATTCTAATTTCGTTTTAATTTTCTTTTTTTCAAAGAATTTTGCAATCAAGATTTCTTTTTCTAAAACATTTGATTTCTCCAAATGCACAGCATGGGGGACAAGCTGCATCACTTGAATATTATCATTTCATAGTTTAATTCAAATATAAAACAATACTTTCATACAAATCATACATGTGTCACCAGCTGTTCATGAAACAGCATCCTTAGCGTTTACATTTTCTTCTGCTGTAATTTGAGTTTGAATGGAAAAACTATGTCCAAAGAAATCCGCAAAAGGAGAAAGCAGTGATCAGTATAAAAGAGAGATGATGGTAATGAAAAAGTTTAAGACAACATGGGCTACAGTCACAGACACAAATATGGCAAACACATGGCAAAAGCATGTACTAGAAAGTCATGAAAGCATGAGTCAGTGAAATTTGATTTGAATGAGTTGTAAGACATTCATAAATAATTTTCCTGATAATTTTAAAGAATATTTTGACCCCCAACCATTTACCCTTGATAAAAAGGTAGTCCTAATACCTAATATAGGTAGTCATGTAGTCCCAATTGGCCCATGGCAGGGAAAATCAAATACCAAAACTGCTTATTCTTATTACAAAATTTTGTACATTTTGGTGCTTGCTGTTTATTTAATGTAATGTGACTTCATATTATAAGACATTTTGATCAGCTTGAAAGCTGAACTTGTTCCAGCAGACTTCTACAAATAACATCTCATGGTTACTGGGAACTCTGGCTGAGACACATATAAAAACATGATAATCAAGTACATTTTGCTTACCACTGCTGCTAATGGTGAGGCTTGCATTGTAACAGTAAAGATGATGCATGCAAATCCAAGATGTGCAACCCGCTGGGTTTCCTCTGTAATATATTGCATTACGTAAAAGTATAATGCCAGTGATACAAGTGCAGCATATAAAATGATCTTCAGTTCTTTTCCCTTAGGAAGAAGAGAACTCCATAAGATTTGGTATACTGAGTGATGAACAGTTTACAGTACCCTCTTTCCTTAACAAATTTTTTGGTCTGCAGCAAGGGTCCATCTATAAAATGGTAAACCCAAAATAATTCGTTTAAAGTATTACTTAATGTAAATTTATCCTGCTTTTTAAGTGCCATTTTATCATTTGATACTAGGGCATTGGAACATTCAAGCAAAATTAATGCTACTTAATACTACACTTTAGAACAGGGCAAAAAAAACCAACAGAAAACAGAACAATTAAAAGACCACACTAAAAGATCCCAACTTCTGTTTTTACATTTAAATGGTTTAACATATCATACAAGCAAATGGTTAACTCATTGCTCATATTTTTCCTTGTCCTTATGCAGGTTGGAAAATACAATGCAACTCAAAAAATATCAGCACATATTATAGTTTGTATCTATCTAATTGATTAGGATTAAGACAGTCAAACAAATAAAAAAACAAGCAAATGATCTATGAAGAAGAAATACAAACTCTACTTGAGACCTCACTTAGATTGGTGTGTGTGGATTTATTATCAATGACCTTACCTTCTGTTTACAGTAGTAAAGGAAACACAAAATGTAAAGTACTTGTAACATCATTCCACTTAAATTGACTGGAATTAGTGCAGAATCATTTTTAAGAATACCATAGCTTGCCCACATCATACAGCTGTACACAAAGGAAATGGCAATACATCTTGGCTAAGCAAACATTTTACAACACATTGTAAAATTAACCCTTTAACTCCCGTGAATGACCAAGACAGAATTTCTCCTTACTATATCTCTACAGTATCATGCAGACAAGTGATGAGAATAGAGAAAAATATCAATTATGAGATTACTAATTGATCCAATGCCAAATTCTCCAAACTAACACAATGAGAATCATTTAGCAAATGGTAAGGAGAATTAATAATGAGATCTTGGGAGTAAAAAGGTTAAATAATGTACATTCTACTGTTTCCAGAATGAACTAAATTGTTGACAATATCTTTGCAACTGAGCTACGGAAATTTTCCACTCTCCATTAAGTTCCAAGGATGAAACTTTGAAAGGCTGCCTCTACTTCACACAGGGCGTGAAATTGCGCCTAATACAGGCGCCAATGCAACTAAATTTTTCACTTTGGTGACCAAATCCTGAAAGTTAGTTGCCAAATTGGCAACTAGAATGTTTCATCATGACCTTACCTAGAGATATAGTGAATTAAAAAGATTTGCAAAGGTAAATCCGCGGCAAATTTCCACATTAGGTTTGTTTCCAAAATGCAGCACATGCATCTCGATCGATAACTAGACGCCATCTTGGATTAGGTGAGCTTGAACATTGCATATCATCCATCCTTGTGTCCACTTTGTAGCAGGTTAAAGATCTTTTCCTAACTTAATTTCTAGAACGATGACAGCATAAAAAAAAGCTTTTGTTTGTCTTTGAAAATGGCGACCAACTCTTTTTGAATTGGCTACCACTTTGAAGAATTTAGGAGCCAAGTGACTATCAGAAAAAAATTAATTTCACGCCCTGTTTACAGCAAACAGACTTAAATCTTATCTTTGGTAACAAGCTGACTGAAATTTCTGATGAACAAGGGAGGCAAAATTTATGCCACAAGGTCTACTTATCTGGACAGGCTTTTAAGCAAAACCAGCATATCGAGTAAATTGCTCATTACTGACCACAAAGCAGAAATTACTTACTTAAGAAATGTTGTGACAAATGGCAGGAGAGGCACATTATCAGTGCTTCCATTCTGGACCATTTTCTGACATGTCAACCTGTCCAAAAGGCCAAAATGACATGAATTATTGCTATACACTTTTTATTTCTGTATTAAAGGCTGGTAAAAATAAAACTTTATTATACAGTTAAAACTACAAACATGATTTAAAAACATGTATTGAAGTTGTATCGTAGCATTAGTTTAATGCTATGTTCTCAACCAAGATAGATTGGTGTTATCAAATGAGTTGACAAAGGGCTTGGGAAATTCTTCTCAGTGGCTAATTCACATTATCAACTCAGTTGTTGACACCAAATTTTCCCATAATACCCCCTATAGTTTCTCCAGAAACTAACCTAAGTTTATCCCTTCACTGAAGTTCTCACTAGGCTGGCCCACTACATATTTATAAAGTAATCACATATATCAAATTATGCAAATGATTGCCACCCAATCAATTGAATATCAGGACAAGAAAATTGTTCTCTCAGCAACAGTGCCATTAAAAAATCAATTACCCAATCAAAGAACTAAAAATACAAGCCCCCCCAAGCAACAACTAGAGTCTCCTGTCCGGAAAAGTTTCATCTTGAAGTGTACAATCAGATATGAAAAGTTTGTGGAACATAAAGAAATAAAGTTGACAAGAAATGGAAATCCTTGCCTCATATACCAATAATAAAACTCATTGAATCACAAAAGCACCTTTTGTGTTTTTCCTATTGTTATTACAGAGTTCCCCCACAAACTCGTACGCTCACAAAGATTTACTTTTGCTGGCAATTAGTGATTAGAAGTTATCGAGCTACGTGTTCTGAACCCTTTCTCTTCACTTCAGTGTATGCGTGTGCTCACATTTCGGGAAGATTTCCATATAACATCATACTTTTCCAAGACAAAACCATTGTCTTTTAAGGAATCTATTACTTTGCCTGTGTTTTCTTTCATCCATGAGCTGTATGCATACCGTAAATGTTAACGTATTGGGGTCATACGGAAATCTTGTCTCTTATTTGAACAAAATCGTTGCACCACCATAGATAATTTTAGTCTCAGTTAGGTAAAATTTATGTAGTTCTACAGACGTATTGTTTCCCATCCCTTTAGCTTGGGAAAAGAAAGTTCATGAGGAATATTACTATAAGAAGTTTAAGGGCAGAATCGCACATAATTTACTCACACGCCTGAGATGAAAAATCCAACTGTTGCGATAGTGGCCGTCCACGACAGGAACGAAATCGCTGATGACATTTCGATGTAACAGATTCTTTAGGAAGAGGGGATATATCTTGCAAATGTACACTTTTTCGCAAATAAATAGTATAAAGTACTCAACATCAGTTCGTACTGTTTCCTATTAAGAACAAAGCGCAAATACACGCCCGCAAAATTTGTACACTGCGGTTCAATTGACTCCTTTGTAGAATACGTGTGTAACTACGCCAAGTGTAACTATCAGAACAAAAACTCAGTTCAAACCTCGTTATTTTCACCAATTTTCGCCGATTCGATCGTGTTGCTCTTCTTCTTGAGTAAGCGAATGTTAGAAAATAATAGTGGTAGAAGGGAGAAGAGGAAATAAAGGCGTTTTGATCTCTCCAAAGCTTTGTTCGCGATTGTAATTAATTCATAATCCAATATATTTATCGAAAAGTCATAACATCCTTACGATTACCCCGCAGAGCAGACCTCATTTGTGCTTTTTAAATCAATTTTCCGTTCTCTTCCTTTAACGCATGAAGCGTCTCTCGCACTCGCCTCACGCTTACCTGCTCGCCTGAAAAACGCTAACACGCCACATCTGCCAGATCTTGTAGGCTACCTTACAATAAACATGATCAAGTAGAGAAGTATAGGTTACTAACGGGGCAAGAAAAATATCAAATGGGAACCAAATTATCCGAATTATAGCAGGCAAAAAGAAATAAATTAATACAGGTTCCTTAGTAATCATTGAAATTTGAAACTTTTAACCCCCAAGAATAACCGAGCTTCTAATTTCTCCTCAGCCAAGTCTCAGGTCACGAGATAAAAGAAAAATTAATGAACGCCTACTAAAGAAACTTGCGATTCTCCTGATTTGTACCATCGGAAATGTATAAAGAACAGTAAGGAGAATGTAAATATTGATGTTAGGAAATAAAGGGTTAAACAGAAGGGAAAATGAACACCTTTCAGGGAAGAAAACAGTAAGTCAAAAGATATCCGTTTTTTTTTCTGAGTCGTCTCAGGCTCTGTGAAGCGGAAAGTAACAGTCGATCACTTTTTCATTTTTTATTTCAGCTACAATAATCGTTGTTTATGGTTAGGATTAGTGACAATTCACCTATAGAAGTTACGAATAAGCAGGTGATATAGTTAAAATAACCTCACCCTTCTCATTGGCAATACTGACACATTTTCTTTTAATTTGTCAGTTGACTCTATAAAACTGCTCACATTTCAATATATGGGAAATCTACCTAACTACCTCGGAAAAATAATAAAAACGAACAAAAACAATTGCTTCAAATATGTATTTGTGATGTTGAATTCGTTATTATTGCGCAATTTTAGCGGTCATTGCGTCTTACTACAGCTGTTATGTCAGCCACAGTCAGCAATTCAACTCTTTATGGTAACCTGTTGTATTTGTATGTTATTTGAATCTTTATACTAGAAAGTATCAAAAAACCAACATTATAAATTTTAATTTGACCTGTTCAAAAAGGCCGCCTTGGGAATGTTTACTTCTACATCCCATTTATCTAAGTCGCTGGAAATTGTTGCTTTGTTTGAAACACTGGATTTTTTATCTTGTAAACTGTGTTAGTCAAACCGGCGATATTATAATCAGAAAAGAGGTCTCTTGAACCCGTAATGCTCAAAACCTTTTCCGATAAAGAGGCTACAGTCCAGTCTCCCTAAATAAAGTTGTTATAACTGTTTCAAGTTAAATATAACATCGACTTTAAATGAAGCCTTCAAAAAGTCCTAATCTCCTAACAAAAGCAAGCGAAAAATTTATGAAATCAGAGGACTCTAAAACAAGTTTAACTTTACTAATCAGTTTTCAACTGACTGTCCAAAAACTAAAACCATAGTAATCGCAACGGATAATCTTAACAAGGGTTTGCATCATAAATAGCCAGTGAAAACTCAAGTAAAGAGAGGCAAAAAAGCAAAAGATCGGGAAAACGCGAGCGACAAAGTCGCAACTGAATTTTGTTTAACGTCTGATTTTTTTTTAGCATGGCGCGAGTTTCCTATGCCAATCACTAAAGCGAAGTAAATCAAAACCAAAGTTATCCGGCTTACTTTCGAAATTCAATCGAAAATTACCCTTCCACTTCAACCCCAAATTCAAGACCTCACGTTATCTCAACTTTCACAGACTACACATGATTTTAAAATTACTCAGATCACGTGCGTTGGGCGTGAGAACAAAAAACAATTGTCATTAGCAGAGGGGAAGAGAAATTTTGGCTCGAAATTCGTTCACGAAACTAAAAGAAATGTCTCAACTCTTCAAAAGTTCGCGACTAGACAACAAGCGCTGAAGGATAGCGAAAGAAGGACAATCCACTGGATGATTAAAATTCTGCTTCCATTACATGAACACTTGATAATAGATCTATCATTGTCAGTGCCGTTTCTCCTCGTTTTTCTCATAACTTTCCACACTCCCCAACTGAATGTAAACACTTCTGAGCAGTTGCCGGACGATGCCAGGTACGGAGGTCCACAAACCGGTTTGGCATGTTCCGGTGTGTACATGCTACTGTCATGGCGCCCGCCATACGCACAGCGGTCGAAGTTCAGAAAATAGATTGGTGGCCCTGCGAGATCTAAGAGCAACACAAAAGAAATCACCTTGGGTACTGCACATCGCTGGTTGCATTTATGTTATGTATCATCAAAATATCAAGAATCAAATATCAATATTTTTTGTGAATCGATTTTAAGGAACGTATGATGACATTTCTCACATTCTGGAGACCTCTAGTAAGAAATTCAAATCAAACATAAAACTGTCCACTCGAAGGCTTTTATTCTCAACCCCCTTTCCCACGACAATAAACCATTATTTCGTAATACAAACTTACTTATAATATTCGAATTAAGTTTCTCGGGCTTTCTCTCGCCATATGGTATTTTCGTCTTGAGGTTATCAAGGTCAAAAGGTATGTAAACGTCTTGAATTTTCTATGGACAAAAGGAGAAGATACGCAATTATTCCAGGTGACCCAGGATAAGTGTAAAATTTTTTATTTCAGATCTGAAAGTTTACAAGAAAATCCAGTGTAATCGTTTAGTCTAAGTCAATTCTAAAGATTCTCAATCTTAGTATGTACTAAAGCTATCACGTACGTAACGGTGTGACTGGCACAACAATTAAGAGATACGGAAAGAGCTGGGTCAAGTTTTGAAACTTCCTTCAAAAATTCCCTTTTATCGATTGCCTCTTTCGACCCTCAATCATCAATAATATTTATCCATCTAGCTGGAAGATATATCAAAATAATTAACGTACCACATAGGCATCTTCATAAGTACACTCCAGGTTTGGTTGCTTACGATCAGACCCAGTCTGACACAGGAAGTAGCGGAAGCGAGTTCCCGGAGTGAGTACTTCGTACAGTAAAAATCCCAGGAGTCCAAGGAAAGTGATGAAGCCAGCGATGAAAAAGAACAACCCTGAAAAAGCATAACGAAATTTTCATAGATTTTCTTGTGCCCTAAACCTTGTTTGAGATTAGAAAGAGAAACTTCTTGAACAAAAATTTCTTTGAAATCTAGAATAATCTGACATTTTCGAACAAGGCGTTTGTTAATGTTTGTTTGTGAATGATGCTTTGGACTAAAAATAAAACAATACTTACGTCGGCAGTTTCTCTTGTTAGACTTTCCAATGGCCGCTTTGATGTCCATGTCAACATTTTCCATGATGTTCTCTACCTCGCTGGACAGCTGCTGACTGTTGATTCCCAGCACAATACACACAAAACACTTGACTAGGTTTGCTTCATCGTGGTAGCGGGGCTTGCATGGCTCCATAGCCATGCCCAGAAGGGTGTGATCCCTAAAGATGTGAGCCCCCAGGGGCAAATGGGACTCAGCGATCCCCGTTCCTGGGTTGTCTGTGGAAGCATAGATGCGTTCACCCGTTTGCGCAGACCCAACAATCAGTACCTTCACCATTCCAATGACACAAATAATATCTGTTTCTCCTGCAAGTAAATGGAAGTTTATCGATTTCGTAAAGCAAAAATAGGCTCAGGAGTCATTCAAGCATCAAATGAAATGCAAATGCTTTCTGGTGGAGAAAAACTGTTAATGGTAATGACAAAGAATGTAAATAGACTTCTTATAGCTTAAACGTCGGAAGGCGATATGGCGGTATTGGCTTCACTGTTGCAAATGTTTGGAGCACAAGGTTTGTTGAATGTGATTTTTCCACATCAGCTCTCTATCCCACCACTTAATTTGGACTCTGAATGTTTGTACGAATGCTTTAGGTCTTATTTTGCTGAATGTCTCTTTTCAGAACTGTCATTTCAGGTATTAGTCTCTGGCTTTAAAAATACCACGCGCCCAAAGAAATGCTCATTACTCATCGCCTCGGGGGTCGGATGATTTTCTTCGTGTCATGATACGATTTACCTGTTCCCCTCATAAGGCTCTGTTATACTGTGATGATCCCCACCCCGCCCCCTCCCCCCGTCATTGGCAATTAATTGGCAGTTAATTTTCTACAGCCTCCCCCTCATTCTTTGTTGACGACAACTGATCGCCCGGTTTGCCCCCCGTTCCCCCTGATAACCATGCCCCCTCCCAAAGAAAAGAAAATCCTTCGATCCCCCTCCCCCCTCCTCCGGCAAAATATTGACTGGTTTCTAAGTGAAAGCATATTCCTCAATCAACTTCTGAAGTAATATCCGATCATGAATTAAAGTACTAACCTATTTCTTTTTCCGACGGAGCATGTGCTTCTACGTATGCTGACCTGCTGATCACCCCGGCCATTACCGCTCGCATCGCATTCTCACTGCTCAGCGGTTCAATCTGAGCCATTCCCTCATCGTTGGGGAAAAAACCCACCACTACTCCTTCGTCTAGGGTCTGGTACAAGCTCGGTTTGGTTAGTCGCAAATGGTACGCGATATCACCTCTTCGTGTTTGCAACAGAAAGGTGACTGTCAGGTTGTCAATGTTTGCTTGTTGGGCTTTCAAATGATTCACCACAAGATCATCCACATGGTTGGTTTCACCTTGATAAAGAAGAGGATATCGATGTTAGCAGTTTTTATCCCTAACTACCCTTGGGTGTCATTTGATCATAAAAAAAAATTATAAAAATTACCTTCCGAACTTGAAGGAGAGTTCCTG